GAACATAGTCTCTAAAATCCTAGGCTCAGTAATCATGCATAGACTAAGCAGAACTCGGGAGGAACAGACAAGGGAAAATCAAGCAGGCTTTAGACCAGGTAGAGGGTGCATAGATCATATCTTCACTCTTCGACAGATTCTAGAACATAGACACACTTTTCGGCGTCCAACAATTGTCATATTTCTTGACTTGAAGGCGGCCTTCGACTCCGTGGATCGAAAGGTACTATGGCAATGTCTGACTGTGAAGGGAGTGCCAAGAAAGTACATTGCACTAATCAAGGCACTCTATTCAAACTCACGTAGTCGTGTAAGGGCTTATGGGGAATTGTCATCTGAATTGGTAACAACCAGTGGTGTCCGACAGGGATGTCCACTTTCCCCATTTCTGTTTAACTTCGTCATAGATATGCTAACGGAAGTATCCTTAACTGAACGTAGTGACTTAGGAATCGACTTATTACCAGGGAATAATCTAATGGACTTAGAATATGCAGATGACATAGTCCTGTTAGGGGAGGATGCTGACAAAATGCAGAGTCTTCTGAACACCTTGAGCAGCAATCTTCGTATGTTTGGCATGCGATTCGCCCCTGCAAAATGTAAGATGCTGCTACAGGACTGGACCACGTCAACCCCTAACTTAGTGACAGGGAGTGAAGTGATAGAACATGTTGACCACTTCACCTACTTGGGAAGTTGTATTAGCACCAACGGACTGATTGGCGATGAAATCTCAGCACGGATCCGGAAAGCTCGAGCTGCTTTCGCTGACTTACACCATCTCTGGCGTAGGCGTGACATCCGGTTATCAACCAAGGGACGTGTGTACTGCTCAGCAGTTCGCTCCGTCCTTCTCTATGGCTCTGAAACATGGCCAATACGCGTTGAAGACATGAAAAGGTTGACTGCTTTCGATCATAGATGTCTGCGATCCCTGTCTCACGTTAGGTGGTTTCACAAGATAAGTAATGTTGACGTTAGGCGTAGAGTGTTGGGCAAAGAGGGAAAATCAATCGACGAGGCTATAAAGTTACATAGACTAAGATGGCTAGGTCACGTGCTGCGCATGCCTAACCACCGCCTCCCCCGACGGGCATTGCTAGCTGACATAGGTTCAGGTTGGAAAAGAGCCAGTGGTGGCCAAACAAAAACATGGCATCAATCCATGAAATCCTTGACAGTTAAACTGAGTCAGGTAGGGAGATGCAGACTCCCGGGTTGGGGTCCTCGGGACTCTAGGAATCAATGGCTGGAGACAATAGGTGACATGGCTCAAAATCGTTGTCAATGGCGCAGATGTATTCAGTCTCTGTAATCTTTCATATTCCTTTCTACCATTACCCATTCTGTTTCACTCTTATATTTGTCAAACTCTATTGATTCTCTTCACTCATCTTCTTGTCTACCTCTGTGGGCTATTTGGAACGTGGCAACTCGAACTTCTGCACTTCGGTGCCAAGTTCTATGTTGAATCCAGACAGACAGACATCCAGTTATACCACATAAAGAGGGGACATCCGAGACCCTATGTAGGACTTTAAATAAAGCAGGAATTAGGGTGGCATTCAAACCTACAAACTCACTCAGGGACAAGCTCTGTACGTTAAAGGACCCACTTGACCCAATCAGACAAAATAATATAATTTACAAAATACCCTGCAACGACTGTGAGGTCAATTACATAGGTCAAACTGGTAGGTCAGAGGTAGTCAGATTGTCAGAAAATAAGAATTTAGCTAAGGTAAGAATGGTTGACCTGGAGAAGATGAGTAATTTAGAAAAAAGCTCAGCAATTGCAATGCATGCACTAACACGCAACCACACAATAGGGTGGGAGAGGGTTAAAATTCTAAAAAGTAATCTAGGTAGGTGGAGAGAGAGGTTGATTACTGAATCCTTGTTCATCAAGTCTACACCAAACACATGCAATAGGAAATATGTGGAAATATGGAAATGGAATATACTACTAGCAATCAAATCAAGTGAAAAATAATGGAACTATATAAATGAAGTTAGGAAGTCGTGTGATTGCCTTGATATGATTGTGAGCAATAAATTGTGTTCGAAACGTCATCAGTGAACATTACTGTATAACACTGTGAGACTTTATCAAAACAAAAATTAATCCATAATGGAATTACACTCTACCACAGTGCACAAGTTTTATTCTTATATCAACTATCCAGGTGCTTTCCTGCCTAGCTTCCTACTTGACTGAAATGAATAGTATAAGGTAGAAGTTGGCACAATAGTGCGACTGTTTAAGTTACCACAATACAGCACACAAACGTACACAAGGAAGTGGGACGTCACTGAGGACGATTTTGAGTTTTATCAGTAACAATTTCCGAACACTGATTATTTGCATTCCACAGGACCCAGTTAGATAGACAGGACCTTGCTATGTGGTTCAAGCCGCTAGTCAAAGACCTCAAAAACTTATCTAGCTCTTTTCTCCACCGTACATCCCTCGTCCAGGAAGTCGCTAGCCTACGTGTAACCTAGTCATCTCAATCGATGCCACTTTACAACCTAATTGAGTGGCTTTCGCTTGTAATCTAACTCTACACCTAACCTTACTGTTAGTGACTACGTTACAACACAACATACGAAATTGAGTGCGGTCATGTTTCATGATTGTAATGAGAGAGCAAACTGCTGCATAACACAAACGTTTTTGATTATTATATTATTTATATTATTGTATCCTTTAGTTCCTAGAGGAACATAGGGCTTCAGCTGCGCACCTCCATTGACTTCGGTTTTCTGACAACTTTTTCACCCTGCTCCAGGTCTGTCCACATGCTTTCATCTCCTCCTCGCATGACCTCCTCCAAGTCACCCTTGGACGACCAACTCGCCGCCTCCCTTTCGGGTTCCACTCGAGGGCTTGTCTAGTGATGTCACTTGATGGTTTCCTCAGCGTATGGCCAATCCATCTCCATTTCTTTCTGCCTATTTGTTTCACAATCGGTTCCTGATTGGTTCGCTCCCAGAGATCCCTGTTGCTGATCTTTTCTGGCCATCTGATCTTGAGTATTGAGCGGAGACAGTTGTTAATGAAGGTTTGAAGTTTGTTTGAGATGCTCTTTATGACTCGCCAAGTCTCTGATCCGTATAGTAGCACTGACTTCACATTGGAGTTGAAAATCCGGATCTTATTTTTGATGCTGATTGCTGTTGACCTCCACACAGATTTGAGAGTAATGAAAGCTTGTCTTGCTTTTCCGATTCTGGCTTTGATGTCCTCGTCAGTTCCGCCTGTAGTTGAGACGATGCTTCCCAGGTAGGTGAAGGAGGTTGTTTCTTTCAGGTTCTTCCCATTTATGCTTATTGTGGTCTGTTGGTGTTGTTGATGTTGGCTAGGAATCTTCATTATCTCTGTTTTATCTATGTTCACGTGAAGTCCTATCTTTGATGCTTCTTCTGCCAACTTGTTACTTTTCACTTGCATATCTTCCAGTTTATGGGAAATCAGACATATATCATCGGCGAAATCCAGATCCTCCAAGTCTTTTGTGTCAGTCCATTTTATGCCTGTTCCCTCGTTGGTTGCCGTTGTCTGTCGCATTATCCAATCAATTGCAATCAGGAAGATCATTGGTGATAGTAGACAGCCTTGCCTCACTCCCGTCCTCACTTCGAAGGGTATTACATATTACGCCAGTCAGTAGACGATAAACTACCAACCTTCTGCATCAATGCCGTCAACAATCAGTTAATTAGACTAACTTAACTTCCCAAGTGCAACCAATAACACTTAATCATTTCATTATGCTTAAAAAGTATCGGTTTAGACAAGTCTAGTACTATCACCCAATAACGAATATTTATAATGAGAGCAGATACATTCAATCCTACCAAAGTATGTTTTCCGGAAGGGTAAAACAATTTCCCGTTCAGCGGTATGAGCCAGAATATTGCACCGAGGTAGCAGATACTCATTAAGAAAGACAGTGGGTACTTTATTAATCGGAGGATACTAAAACACGACCTTTGTTCCCAGGCTAAGGCAATTATTGAGTTGTAAGCTAAGGGTTAGGCGATTTATCCATTCAAATTAAACAGAACATAATACATTAAAGCAGCATCACGGTTCATTACTTCATACCACTCAAACTTTAGAGATTTTACGCTTTCCTGATGCAACTGCTGGAAGTCAGTTTTCGACACGGCGAGTCAAAATGTGGCGTTGGATGCAACAGTTGCATATACAGGCGATTATCGTAAACTTTCAATATTTTCCCATTGCGTTACAAATATTATTAACTTCAGTACTTCTGAAAGTCAACTCTATAGCCTATTCAACTTTGACCACTGATAGCATTTTAAGCCAGAGAAATACCCTATCAAACTTCGAGTTGAGGACTAGAAACTGACGTTTACAGCTTAAGATGTAAACTGCCTCTGACACACAAGACCTAGGTGTACTTATTCAACTAATCACACCTAACCGACAAATTGAATCTACAAAACTTACCTTATCAGTCTCCAGGGATCTTTTTGCGCTCCCCAGTAAAGGACATTCCAAAACATTCTACGCCAGCTAACCAAATATAGTTATCAGCAAGTATGCATATGAAATCATTCGCATTTGATCATTAATTCTAAATGCGAGGAGAGAATTCCTAAGTTGACACGTTAAACATAATGACCCCTTCGTGTTTGCTCCGGTAGCCGAATAGATGGCGGAAGTGCTCATTAACTAAGCATAAAGCCTACTGATTCAAATTTCAGTCACATGTATTTCAAAGCAAACCCCAGTAAGAAAGAAACCTAGTGTATGTCACATTCTGAAAATTACACTTATTTGCAAGACAATACTTGTTAAGATAAAACGCACAAAAATGAGTGACTACTTTACCTAGAATGAGACTGATAGGATAACATGCTGGGTTTTAGACTTGAACGGAGTCAGATATACATTACTATAAGGTATTTTAAAACAGATAATTAACAGCTGAAACAACAAATAAGTTACATGTAATGCTACTCACCAAGCAGCTTGTACGAGACTTTTGTTTGATTCATGATCTAAAGCCTGTAAGTAACAAATGATAAGCTACAAACTGCATAATAAGTAAAAATGCTTACCTTATGGGGATGTTTTGCATGGACGCAGAAGCCAAGTTCTTTAAGAACGCGTCGCTCGGCTTTAATAATTTGATTTTTGAGAATGCTGTAGCTTTGATCGAGAACGACTGGTGTTAGAGTCCTGAATGATAGGATAATTAGAAATTCTAACATACTTCTTCTCGCGGACTTGTCGTATGTGATGGAAAACATTGATAACATCTCTTATGCGTCTAGGGGATTCTTCTAGCTTTGCGGAGAGAAATATACATGCCATTGCATAATGCTTGGGAAGATTATAAGAATCGTATTAATACAATGCTTACTTCGTAAAAATGACGGACAAACGACTTGGAATAAAAGAATCGTTGGTAGAGGACTTGTGCAGTGGCCATTGCAACTTGCGGCAACCGTAACAAAACCCCTGAGTCTTGGATGAGTTCGCAACCAACTATCCGTAGGTCAATCTCAGTCTCATAATCCAAGCGGTCTAATTGTGAGGGAGTGGGAAAGAGCCGTTCCTCAGGAATTATGATATTGTGGATAGTTAAATTTACACCACAATAGCCCCAATTAGGGTCAGGCCGTCTACCGGGATGTATGTTACTATCAGAAGCCATTGTAAGCTCAACCGTTTGAAATGCGCTCGTAAGACGTTGCATAAGCATTGAAAGAATTTTTGAGTCACAGACTTCTGGCTAGAAAGAACGTGTTCGTGTTCTGTGTTGATTTTCCGAGTCATATACCTGTTTCCGTCTGTCTTACTCTTGGGCTGGTAAATTTTAGAAATTTATCCAAAGGATTAATAACCTTGGTTAAACTAGTTCTGTAAGCAAAGTAACTTTTCCTTAGAATTTACTCATTGCTGACTTCAAGTCATCAAAACTCTAACGATTGGAATGGAGAATATTTTCTAACTTCTCTCCTGTTATAAAGGGAGGAAATTCAGTCATTTAGTCTTCGTTATGTCGTAAATAGGTCAAACTTGGGACTAGACCATCCTCACGAATCTGTGTCGAATGTCTAAATCAGCACTTTGTCAAGGCCAATTGGGCTGGAAGAAAATTGCCAGATATGTCTATAGAGCAATGGATAAATCGCTTGTGCATTTAGTCGAAAGGTCAGTTAGAGGAAACACTCAACCCGTACATAGGCAAACAGCCTTCAGTCGAATACCGTTCGTTCTCATTTCTACCTATCTATTCTGTGCATAATCAGTATGTCTACCCAGTATGCAGAACACATGTATCAGACCAAGCACATAAAGCCTGATTCAGATTACTGTGTCTGGTAAAGCTGTTATCCACATGTATGTAAAGACTTCTAACAGTTAAAATGATTTAAACAAGATGTTAAGAGGACATATCATGAGACGATACCATTTTCCCGTTTTTCACTATCCCTTTTACTCGGAAATCGGAAAGCGATGTCGCATCAGTCAGATAATCAGCGAAGTGAGTAATCTTTGCTAATTTCTGTGTGGAGTCAATAAAAGTCTTCCCTTAGAGGTCTAGAGTTGGTTCTTGGTGAAATGTGCATCGAAATTAACCCAAATTCATAGACCAAATATTGTTTTTCAGCTCCTCAATAGCTAATGGATGGACATCCTGAGGTAGTATTGAGAAATTACGACCAGTGTTGCCCACCATGTCAAAGTGAATTCAATGCTTGTCGAAGGCATCTGGCAGAACGAGAGATCGTGAGTCATCGCATTCTGGCCTGAATGAATGAATGGTCGATCAGCTTAGTCTGGTCATCAGAAGGTCTCGGTGACGTGTGTGCGCACTCACAAAGAGTTCCAAGCTGGAACGAAATGGTCATTGAGTGCTGTCTGACTTTCAGGGATCTCTAACTGATGTTGGCCTTGGCGAAATCGTGCTGAAATTAAGCCATATCCCTATAAAATCTTATGATCTGAATGCCGGGGGCAGCAGAAGCACTTTTCATTGGGGTTGATACAACCAGCACTGATAAACTACGGAATCTGGCCATCGCCTCACTATGTGAAGTCTACAACAGCCGAACGTTATCAGAGATATTCTGTGATCAATGTTCTGAAAATTCTAGAAGAGGCTTTTCCATTGCACTTATTACAGCCACTTTTGTAGGAGGCGTCCCAATGAATACTGCTTCCGTCTAGTGATGGAGACAGCGCACACCACCGCATTGTAATTGTTCACCTTATTCTCGTTCACACAGCCATCTTGAACTTCCTTTGGTCATTCACTTCTTTGTCTAGATATAAACAAATCCGAGCAGCCATTTATAAGAAGCCGTTAGCTGATCTTTGTAAAGGCAACCCAAGGTTGTGAGACCCACTCACTGATTTTTCGAACATAAAACATATTCTGGAAGCAGCTTCAAAAACGTTTTCCACCTCAAGTGTTTCCACCCACGCGTTGATTAATATTAGTATCATCGTGCTTTCAATAAAGGCTCAAGTCGGATAATATTTTCCAAATAGTTCATGTCACTAGCATGGCGAAGAAAAAATACACTAAGTATTTACACTCCCTCCAGAGTAAAATTTGGGTGAAATCAAAACGTGTGGAGAAATGATTGTTCTTTGTCTACATGTGTCAGAGGTCGATAACTCGGCGGGGGTTAAAGGAGTTCGTCAACTGAACTGAAATGCAGACAAAGCGCTCTCAGCGATCAATTGCTTTGTCTGTGCTGAGTGACCCCATATTATATTCATATTGTCAATACTGAAAATATCCTTGAATGGCCTTAGGAGTTAGAACCCACCTCATTAGATGAGACGGTGTTGAGAGCAGTCTGCTTGACAGTTTAGGTGTGCCAGACTAAAGAGTCGGAGGATAGTGTAGTCAGGGTGCAGATCTGATATGTATATATATATATGTGTGTGTGTGCATGGTGGTCCCTCTTTCTGTTTGCTCGCTTAGTCTGTGACCATTTCACTTTGATGAACCTGTCTCCTTTAACAATGTATATTCTCCTTATGTTATATATAATATGAGTGTTTGTTGACAGTCCGTTGCTTGGTGACATATATCCATATTATATGTGTGGTTGTTGACATGTCTGCTATATTTTGCTATGTATAAATGGATCGACACTGCATTATAATTAGCCATTCATGTTAAGACTGTCTATTGATTTGTTCACTCACTTGTTTGGACATTCATACATATTTTTGCTCGCACACTCTTGTGTGATTTCATTCTCCTTGTGTTTGGAAAATAGAAGTATCATCGCAAACCTAGTGGTCTTCTGATTTCCGTCTTTCTTGCGTCAGGACTATTAAATTCTCGACCAGTACACAACAATAATTTGGCGACGAGTACATAACAATTTGGCGAGGAGTACATAACAATTTGGCGACGGGGAATATTATGGATCCTTCTAAATTGGAATTACTACTTGAAAGACAAATGAAATTAATGAAAATGTTCGTCAACCAACAGACTGGTCCAACTTCACCTCCAAGCAATCTGAATCATACCATGCTACCATGTGTCGACGGAATTGTGAATAGTATTTCACAGTTCAATTATAATCCAGATGCGAATGTCACTTTTGACACATGGTATCAACGATATGGGGATTTGTTCACTGTTGATCTCGCCTCACAAGACGATGCTTGGAAGGTGCGAGTGTTATTACGTGAATTGGGTCCGGCAGAATATGAGAGGTACTGCAACCTAATTTTACCCCAAAAACCGCGTGACAAGTGTTTCGATGATACAATAAAGCTGCTGCGTGAACATTTCGGAGACCACTCCTCATTATTCAGCATACGTTATCGTTGCCTCAAGCTGACAATGAATGAAAATGATGATTTTCTTACTCACGTTGGCACAGTCAACCGAGAATGTGAGAGATTTCGACTCAGGTCCCTAACAGATGATCAACTGACCTTGGCGGCCTGCTTAAATCTTGGGCTTCCAATTACGTTAAACATTACAAATCATATTGCATCTAATTTCTCATTTCTAATTGATATTTTAATCAATAAATTTCATTCAAATATGACCTCAAATCGGATTATATATTCTCGTGAATATCTAATATCTTAAAAACCTACTGATCTGCAACTCCATAAAAAAGACAAGAAAAAGCATCATGCCGGCTGGCAGAGAGCATTAGAAAATACCCCTATTCAATTCATGACTGTTCCAGCAATTATGAGTACCAATTGTCGCTCCCTGCCGGCTAAAATTAACTGTCTTCAATCGCTGGTGTCTTCCATTATATATCATAATACTGGGATCATATCACTTCAAGAAATATGGCTTCATGATCTATATAATGACAATATAGTGTATCTAAATAATTTCAAACTATTAAGACAAGATCGGTGTAGTTCCAGGAAGAAACGTGGTGGCGGTGTCGCCATCTTCATCAATTCACAATGGTGTACGTCTAATAATGTATGTTTGAAATTCTCTAGTGACAATATTGACTGTCTCACCGTTAAGTGTCGACCTAAACATTTGTCAAAATACAACTACATTTATATCTCGAACATGTATATTGCTCCTGGATGCAACTCCACAGAATTATCTTTATTTGTGGATGAATTTACTTCCCTTGCTGCCACCTCCTTCGGAAATTCCTTGTCTATAGTTACTGGTGATTTCAATTCTAGTGATAACAGCTTCCTAATTTCACCTGGACACGATAATATTGTCAACTTCCCGACTAGAATGGACAACACTCTTGATCTTGTATTTACAAACGATGCAGGAATATTTGAAGCCCGAAAAAGAGCCCCACTACTCAATTCAGATCACTGTATCATAAGAATATTGCCCAAAGTATATGGAAAGCAGCACAAAAGGGTCTTCTCATACCTTGGAAAGAAAACACAACACAGATGTTATTCCCATGACAACATACTGAATCTAAGGTTCATGTTTAAAGACACAAACTGGGACTTATTTACTGAACAAGCTCTTGATAACACAATTGCCAACATAACACATTATCTTAATTTCTGTCTTGATGTTTGTTGTCCAAAAGAGACAATCTTCTTAAAATTCGATCGGTGGAAAAGAAAGGTTGTTCAAAATGAAAAACAAATCTGGTGTTAAGAGAATGAACACTTTGATTAAGCTTGAATTACAAAGATTGAATGCTTTCTATAACCAGAAGTTTCTTTCATGTAAATCCCCATCAAATATGTGGAAGTTATTAAAGGAAATCACAGGTGGTAAGCAAATGATGAATGATATTTCTGTAGATGTCAACATGCTTAATGAATTCTTCATATGTATCCCAGCAAATGTTATGATTCCTAACTCAAATAGTGTAAACAATGACTGCTTATCATGCTTTAACACGAATGATGTCCTCAAGTGTCTTCAATCTCTCAAGCCTACTCAGTCCCTCGGTCCTGATGGTGTTCCTGCTGTTATCCTTAAGAAGTGTGCCGACATCTTGTGTTCCCCGCTAACTGACATTTTCAACGAATCATTTTCCAAAAGTATTATACCTGAATCATGGAAAAACATCAAGATCGTTCCAGTGCCTAAATCAACAAGTGAACCTAATGTTAAGTTTAGACCCATTGCAATTACCTCACCCCTTTTGAAAGTTATGGAAAGACTTATTTTACTTAATCTTGATCCCTCTTTAAAACCTTTCAACGACCCCAACCAGTTTGCTTATAAACATAGTAGGAGTACGTTAGATGCCGCTGT